TCATGGGCAACGGGCACCCAGATCACTTTGTGTGTAGCCTGGTTAGCAATTGCAGTCGATATTCGGGTGTCAGGTTAGCGTTTTCTGTGATCTTTTCAACGACATGGAGGAAGAACTGGCGCTAATCTTTGTCTTCCATGAGTGCCAGTCCTACATCAGCGCCATACCGCGCCTGGTGAAGTCATTCACCACCCGCAGCTCCCGGACTACACGAACTGCGGTTTGGTAGCTGCTGTCCTCCCAGTGGCCTTGGTCATTGATGATGAGCCCCGCGTCCAGGTCGTGTATCCTTGAGAGCTTTTTGAACGATGGGGTGAGGAAGCTCGCCAACGTCTCGGTCGCGAGAGCGGCGTTCATAGTGTCCACTAAGGACTTATGAGGCGGGTCCCCTCTCCTACAAGTCTATTGCCCGCACCATGTCCTGATTGAGCCCGAGGGTCGGGGTCTAAAAGCTCCAGTCACCAGCCGATCACTCAATTACTACAGGTGACGGCCGAAGACCGGGACTGCCGCCTTCGACAGCTCCTTGTCGGGGTAGGCGCAGAACGAGTTCACGAAGGTCAGGTCCAGAGCCGGCGCAGTGGCAGTAGAGTCCCAGACCAGGCGGCGGCGGCGGCGGCGGCGAAGTTGCAGACAACGAACAGCGCACAGCGTCTGATGACCTGGGCCTCGTCCGCCGTCAGCCGGAGCCGCTCCCTGAAGAGGAAGGCATCCACGGTACGGATGGTCTTTGCCATCCACCTAACTCAGTGGAGTATACTCTGAGGCGGAGAAACGGATGCCGTGCTTGGAACTCCACCGAGAGCAGTTACGCAGAGCTCCAGAAGTTTTTGGTAGTCTTCCCGGAGCTAGGCAAAGTCCAGCGATGGAAGCGATGGAAGCTGACCAGCAGCTTGTCCCACTCCGGAACGTCGTCGACGGCGAACGCCACCGGTGTGATCCTGTCAATGAAGCATGAACTCCCATCCGCCTTTGAACCTCTTAAACAGCCGGATGTAGAGGCCGCTCGAGATTCTCCGGCAGGTGGAGAAGGCCTTCTCTAGGACCAGCTCTTACACGTGGTGCCGGCAGGCCAGCTGGAGGACGGGCCAATCCAGCTTCTGCTCGATAAGGGCTAAAGTACCGTTCACCAGCATGCTGTTCGCCGTCGTGGCGTCGAAGCAAAAGGCCGCAGTTCCGCTTCTCCAGTTCCTAGTCCCCCAGCGCTGTGAGCATGGCCTCCTGTGCTTGGATGGAGGGGAGTTTGGGAACGGCGAGGAGCTTGGCCACCCTAATCCCCCCCCCCTCCCCATCACCAGGACCTAGAATCGGTCGACGCTCATTCTCTCGCGGTTCAGGATTCGCGGTTCAGCCGGAGTCGTATCAGAAGCTCCGTGCCGCAGTTGATAACCTAGGTTCACGTGTTCTTCACACATTACGGTTGGGCAGTTTGGCATGGTCGAGGCCAGTTCACTGTTGGGGACGTCCGCTCGCCCGCATGCGCTTGGGAGTGTGAGTCGACGTTTCTCTCTCATGGTCGCCATCGTCAAAGATGTTCCCCCCGTGTGCGCGCCGCAACGGTCGGGTAAGTCTGTTGCTGGCACTGGCACTAGAGTCGGAAGAAGCGCCCACGGAAGAACATCCCGAAAGCACAATAAACCAGTGCAGCTCAATGCCCACTCTCGCCTCTGCTTTCCCCCGCCGGCGATAGGATGACTCCAACTTCTTCACATTCTCTTTGACAGAAAATGAGCATGTCTCAAGATTCAAGAACCGATAGAACCGTGGGGCTCGTCCTCCCTTTGGAACAGGAGAGACCGGTTACTCCTCACACTAATAAGAGGATATGACCTCCACTGAGAGAAGGCACCGGTCGTAGGCCAAAAACAGGCCTGACATTGGTAAAACAGCCCAGATCAGACCTGTCTTGGCCTGACCTGGACTGGCTACGATCGACCGGAAGTGATGGGATAAACAATTGTTATGCAAATAAAGGTCAAAATACGTCGGATATGACGCTTAATGACCAGATATGTCATTCCAAATAGGTTTAAAGCAGTTTCCAAAAAGTTGATTTTTTCCCCAAAACTGCCAACTTTGACCTCAATTCGCGACCCCTAAATATCAATACTTTTCAAAATAATTTTGCACACGTTATTTTTTACGGGAATGGAACCAGAAAACTACCCGCACGCCTAAAAATCGGATAACATAAAATTCACCCTATTGCTAAGTGCCACCCTACTGCTCACTGATCTGGAAGAAGCTGTGGAATTCCCCGGATTGGGCGTGGTGGGAGCGGAAGCGTACAAGGCGTGGAAGACCGCTAGGGAGAGACAGGACGGAGCTCAGGCGCCTCTGACTGCAGGATCAAGCAAGCCGCCCCAGAGGGGATCGGAGCCGTAAAACGCCTTTTGGGCGAAGAACGAGCGAGCGAGATAGTGAGCCCTGCACGTGCGGAAGGGCGATAGGGTACTTCCAACGGGCTTGTGCATAGCACCTTTCTAACCGGTAGCTAGCGGTGTGCCAAATTTGAACGCAATCGGCCCAGCCGTTCCTGAGATCTGGAAGCGGCATTCTGCACGTGCGCACGTGCAAACGGGTCCAAAATGACTTTTGCACGGCACCCTACTAACTGGTTCCCAACCGTGTACCAAATTTGAGCGATAAGGAGAGCTTGAGCGATAAGGAGAGGTGATAAGGAGAGCTTCCAGAGAGGAGCCTGCCGTCCATGAGCTTCGGTTGAAGAGTTTGGACTGATGTGTTGATGTGTTCAAGCTGTTAGCCAGCAATAGTTCAAGTTGTCTGTCAACGTTTGTCCAAGCTGTTAGGCAGCAATTGTTTTAACCCAGGACTTTTCACTTCTCAGGAGGGAGGGTCTTTTGGAACCGGAGCTAAATTCAACCACTCGACACTTGCACAGTTCGCACTATTCGCTAAGGTTTTGTCGTTGTGGTTGGGGGGGGGGGTTAACTTAAAAAATGGCAGCCATGCGTCTCCATTGTGGTGGACAAAGTGACTATCGCGAGGAGAACCGTGGACATCACCGCTGTCCCGGCCGTCGTACCTGGCGCAACGCCGCGCTGAAGCTACTTATACAGTCGTTCGTGATCGGTGCCCCCGTAGTGCAGGACCACAGTGGCGAAGGCCTGGCCAAGGAGATCGCCGGCTCGCTGGCAGCTGACGGAGTGAAAAACCCCGATAAACTTGCAGCTATCTGCACTGATGGACAGTACCTAATGAACAGCGTGCCGCAGAAGCTGCTGAAGTTGGTGCCTGCCGCGACTCAACAACGTCGCCTACACCGTGTGTGCCTGCCTGACAAGGACTCTCGTCATGAAAATGCCTGGGTCGGTGAAACAATAAACATCATGACGTCGGTCACCAAACGGCACACCACTCCGTTTGAAAGGGCTGCGAAAATTACGGTAAACATTTAATGTTTGTTTCGAATATTAGTTAAAGGGACAATGTCATGTTGAAATTTGATATTTCGTAGGCCCCACCTTTCTGTTCAAGAAGCTGAAGACCGATTCTCGAAGTTCGACACCGTTCTCCCGCTATCGCCCCTCAATGTACGAAATGTGTGCACGCTTTGAATCGCGCATCAATATCCTCAATGTTTCAATGTGTGCGCCGTTTCGAATTGGCCTCCAATAACAAAACTTTCCTGGATCTTTTCTTTAAACTTTATAAAGTCAACACGTTTTTCCCACATTATCCTCAACGTTCACTTCCATTAAATACTCGTAGGTATTTCCCAGGACTTTTCACTTCGCAAAAAAGTTAACAAGTTGATAGTGACGGTTCGTTCAAAAAGCTCTTGCAAAATGTTTCCCCGATTTTGGTCCTCAAACTATCCATTTTTGATTCATGGAAATTCAGCAACGGTAGTAAAATAAGGAGGCTCCCTGGCTTCCAATTTTTTATAATGACTGTCCATTTAACGCTTATCAGATAAGGTGCTTACATTGTGGCTTTCTTAGTGTGCCCTATTTATTTCACAGACGCTGTCAACCTGAACCCGACGGTGACCTGCCAAGAAAAGGATCTCGAAAAGGCCGTCGGCAAGTGGCTGACAAACTGCCGCGACCGTGACGGCCAGCGATCAGACCGGGGGCGAGGCCGTCCGCCCGCCCAGTGACTTGTGTCTCGATGAGCGCAGAAAGAAATACAGGACTGTGCCTGATGTATGTTGTTTTTATGGGAATAAAGTGCTGGAAGGAAGCATATTTCGTCTCGCATGACATCGCACATTGACGGACAGTGCGAGAGCACCGCTGAACGTCAGGCTGGGAGGGGCACTTTCAAATGGGAGCGTAACGTGGATTGGGTTTACATAGATTCAGGTGGGTGGCGTATATGGGGCCGGGTGGGGCAGGCATTGTAGGACAGGGCGGGTGCTGAGTGGCGAGTGGGTCCCATGTGGGGCCAGTGTGGGGTAGCCCATGCGGGTGGCGAATGGGTCCCATGTGGGTGGCAAATGGGTCCCATGTGGGTGGCAAATGGGTCCCATGTGGACTCCCAGGTGGGTGGCAAATGGGTCCCATATGGGGTCAGTGTGGGCTGGCCCATATGGGTCCCATGTGGGCGCCGCATGGGTCCCATATGGGGCCTACGTGGGCTGGCCCATATGGGTCCCACGTGTCACCCACTGCCATTCCCATGTGGGGCCCACATGAGTGGCCCACGCGGGACCCATATGTAAGAGGTGGGGGGCCCATGTGGGCCCCATATGGGAACCATGTGGGCATGTTTGCTGGGTCTCTCTCTCTCTCTCTCTCTCTCTCTCTCTCTCTCTCTCTCTCTCTCTCTCTCTCTCTCTCGCCACTCTCCCCTCTGCCACTCTCCCCTCTGCCACTCTCCCCTCTGCCACTCTCCCCTCTGCCACTCTCTCCCTCCCTCCTTCCCTCCCCTCACCGTTTCATTTGCAATTGCTGTTTATAATCTTAGCCGCTCAATTACCCAAATGTACTTACTTCACTCAAACAATTTTCGGTATGTTTCTTTTCTAGGCAACCCTGACGCTGAAGTTTCGGAACAAGTTTAAAAACAGTCGTCGCAGGTCGAACAGCCCTGCAGTCGTCAAGAGGAAGAGGGGGAAGGCGGAGTCAGAGATCCGGGTGGAGGGCATCGCTAACCATCACCCCAGGTCAGTTTGGCCAAATTGGTTGAGTTAGGGGTGAAGGACATCAGAAGTTTTCATGCTATCAGGATCATCGTAACTGGCTCAACCGCCTCTAGCCTTAAGCGCAGCAGAGTGAAGACCGTTGGCTCAATTCAAATTCGAAGCTTGACACCCCAATTGGTTGCTGAGATTTGGGTCAGTCAATCAGCGACAGAATAATTACATCCTAACCAATTAGGCAGAATAAGTGCATCCTTTTCAGCTTGAGTGCATGACAAACGCAGAGAGCCTTCCCGCCCAACTTGACGTGTTTGATCACTGCCCAGGTCGACAATGACGCAGCTCGAGGCGGAACAGAAGAGAAACCAGATACTCCAGATCGACGAATCAGAAGAGAGACGGATGCTGGTCAAGGCAACTCTTGGGGTGAGGCGGAAGGCCATCATAGAAGAGAAAAAAAGCATCAAAAAGATAAAGGAATTATACCCGTTCATCTTCGGGTCCGACGAGGTTAGTGAATTTCAAAATAAAGTTAGGTTCAGATGTGAATGCAAAAGATAGTGCCAATGTCTTTTCAGCTACACCTATGTTTTAGGGTTTATCATATTTTTTACATTTTAGCGCGTCGGGTGATGTCCTAGATGATCACTATATTTCCGTATGTTTCGAAAGCTTAGTTTCACGCCCACATCATGTTACAGTGAAGGAAACAGCCTGTGATGGTTTTTTTTTTTAGTGTGACGAAAGCAGTATTTTCTACAGGAACAAGTCGACCTTTATAATGGAAAACGAAGCCTGATGGCATTAAACCTCATAATTTCTGGCCATTTTTAGACGTGAATTCCCTCCCTGACATGTCAATTATTATTTACGTTGACACTATAAACATACATCGGCTTTATTTCGCAGCTGTGGGCGGAGATGGATCTGCTGGTGGGAGAGCCTGTGAAGGAGCGGTACCGGAAGGCCATGGAGGACGCTCTGCATAAAGTCGCAGACACCACCGGCTGCGCGTCAGGTATGTATCATGGAGTTGACGGCACTGATTTGACGAATTTGTTACCGAATATATTGCGTCAAGTGGAGTTGAGGGGACGGATGTATGGGCTAACTTTTGAAATATCAAGTTGTGCAATTGTGCATTGTTTGTGCGTGCGCGTGTGTGCGGGCGTACGCGCGCGCGCGTGTGTGTGTTTGCGTGCGTGTGTGACGATGTTCCCTTTAAAGGAAGACTGTCACTTCATTTTTATTATTTTTATTTATTTTTTTCATTTGTATGGTTTTCACTAGACCTGACCCACCTGTGTACCACTCTGAAAACCGTTTTGAAAACCGTTAGTGGCTCAGAAATAAAAGAATCTTCGAGCGCCTACTGTAATCTGTGTATGAAAGCTAGAGAAGTGAACGTTTCATACATTAAATGTCCCAAAATTGTGAACAATTTGGTGTATAATTTGTGCCAATTAACTATTTATGAATATTGAATAATCATATTTACTTTTAACATGTTGACTTTGGATCAACCGGTACATAAATAGTTTCCAGTAGGTTCATATATGCTTCCAATGACCATCAGCGTGACTTGATTCTGACTCGACTCAAATCCTTGATTTTATAGCTGATTCAATTCTGATCAGGGTTTCGGAGTCGTGGTGGTGCTGTTCTGACTCAGACTCCGAATAAAATCCACGTGTCTACAATGTCGTTAACGAGTAAAATATTCTGCCAGCTCTGTGTCATCTATGTAAACCGTATGGTCACTGACTGGTTTTCGCATATTCTTAGGAGAATCGGCGAACACACTTCCTCGGCTTCTCGAGTTGGAGGACAAGGTTGTGCTGGAGAACCGGACGAACCGGGCGGCTCCATATATCCTGGAAGAAGACGGGGGGTATGTGGTGATGGTGGAGGGGGTGGGTGTCGCCTGGGAGGTAGATCTGAAGGAGAGCCTCCTCCTTCTGGTTTTATCCATGTACGTGTTTAATCAGAAGTGTGGCCCATGTGTGAAGTCGCTGATGTGGTTCATGGCGGACAAAGTGATGGGTCTGCCCAGCGAAAGCTCGGCAAGCGTGCGGGTCCGAGACAACGTGGCCATGTGCGATGGCCGTGTGTGATGAGGCACTCGTCGTTGTCGCCGGGGTAGGCGGCTGCTGAACGCGCCTGTGATCGGTGCCCCCCCCCCCCCCATCTTCGGTACTCGTTGTCGCCGGGGTAAGCGGCTGCTGAACGCGCCTGTGATCGGTGCCCCCCCCCCCCCCATCTTCGGTACTCGTTGTCGCCGGGACAGGCAACGTTTCAAGTGGCTCGCTCACATTTGTTACATATAAACGTGTTTTCCGATGCTGTAGTGCAATGAACAAGAGGTGTATGGTAACGTGGGTTCTAAACAAATGAATGGTGCAGGTACTGCACCATGCCTTTGTTTACAACCCTATATGGTGTATCCTTTTCGATTTATCGAAAGGCTTGTGCAACCGTTTCGATACCTATATCGAAAGGGATGCAACCTTTTCGATATATCGAAAACGATGCACAAGCAAGTAACGGGGTGTAAAGGGGGACTTTTAACGGTGTAAGTACGGTGTAAGACAGGTGTGAAAAGGGTGTTTCATTAGTGCAACACGGGCGTTTCATTGGTGTAACACGGGTGTACTTTGGGTGTCGAAACAAGTCACTGGCACACAAATGAGGTGTTAATGGGGTGTATCTATGGAGTAAGTGTGGTGTAAGAGGTGATGAGTGGTGTGTCAGTGGTGTCATGACAGTGTTTCAGTGGTGTAACAGGGGTGTAAATAGGATGTAAAAATAAGCCACACCCCTGTTACACTTGAAAGGTGTTGAATACTGAAAAGATAGTGTTTCAGCGGTGTAACACTAGTGTTACATTGGTGTAATAGAGGTGTACTTTGGGTGTCGAAACGAGTCACTGGCACGCAAATGGGGTGTTACTGGGGTGTATCTGTGGAGTAAGTGTGGTGTAAGAGTTGATGAGTGGTGTGTCCATGGTGTCATGACAGTGTTTCAGTAGTGTAACACGGGTGTAAATGGGATGTGAAAATAGGCCACACCCTGGTTACACCGAAAAGGTGTCAAATATTCTTTCAGTGTAGGCATGGATGAGATAATAATGGATTGGTGTCTTCGCAGTTTTTGGCGACATTGAGCTCAGGCCTGCCATCTAGCGGGAGAATTATCGTAAGTTAGGAGCAAGCCGACTGAACGCCGCTGATTACCATTGTGACACATGGGAGTGTGGTGTAGTAGCGGGCTTGTTGTGCAATTTTTCAAAAGGTTATGTCTTTATATGTCAGTAAAAGCGAAGGAATTAATAGATTTATGTGCAGGGTCAGTAATAAGATAAGCAGTTCCATGTTATTTCCTCATTAAATCGTGAAACAGGGAGTTATTGGAGACTTCGCCAGCACGTGTCGTTTTCGCTATTTTTCACATGAGTTTTACTTGGCCTAAATCAAACAAATTGTCCGATCAAAGAACAAAACGAACGTTAAGTACTATCTATAAGTCTAATGAAAAAGTTGAACGAATTGCTAACGTCATTGCCGCTCAATATGTCATTCAAGACGCTCTATGAAAAAGACCCAACCAGTGCTGCGTAGTCGATGAAATTTCAGTGACTTTGGCTCCAACTCCGATTCCGGTATCCAAATATCGACTCCGACTCCTCCGGGCAGAACTGTCGATTCACAAAGACTCCGACTCTGACTCCGACTCTGCAGCCCTGGTAAGTCTGTGGAGTCGATGACTTTTCGGTGACGTTCGACCCATACTCCGACTACAGCTTTTAAAAATCAACCGACTCCGAGTCGGAACAGAACCGCTGGCTCTAAATACAACTCCGCAGCCATGGCCCGATAGCCGCCTAAAACAACTTTGATGTGTGATCTTCTTCGTACGTACATTGTTAATGTTATTTTAAACAAGGGGTGGAAAGGGGAGACGAAGCCTTCACAAACAGGGATCTCCTGTTGCGGATCAATCAGCTGCTGGAGCATGAGGCATACACACCACGCATCTCATTTCATCGGTTTCCTAACGACACTGCACCAATGTTATAATCTCTGATCAATGCAGTGCGAGCATCGATGTGACATTTGTGTACCAAGTTTGAGTGTTATCCGCCCAGCCGTTCTTGAGATATGGAAGCGACACCCCGCACGTGCGCACGTGCAGTAGCACCGTCATAGTGACACATGGAAATGCATTGGCCACTGGGTGCCTGACTATTGACGAAATTTAACTGTAATGGGCCCAGCCATTGCGGAGTTACTTTATGTGGAACAATTTCGACACCCCTAAGTTGGCACGTGGCACGTGCCGTAACAATTAACAAAGATGAAGAAAATCGAGCGAAATTCGGAGAAGAAGGACTAAGCCTACCAAATATGTATGACATATTGTCAAACTGCTGTACCATTGTACCATTGAAAAGGTCGTACAAGCCGATGGGACTGAGCGTTTCAATACACACCGTCTTACGCATTTTATTTTCGTTATTACCTAAATGCTGCTTGACATTTTTGGCTTTCAAGCATTTAAGACATTTTTTATCGTCTCAAGTCCAGTAAGATTACCTCCAACTCGTGGGAATATGCACTTCAAGCCAACTAACACACTACACCCACGTGTGTCTTAATGCTGAGAGATGGCGTTCACTCGGCTTGCTCCTAACTTACGATAATTCTCTCGCTAGATGGCAGGCCTGATCCCAATGTCGCGGATCCCAATGTTAATTTCCACGAGACACCAATCCAGTGTTATATCATCCATGGTGTAGGGTTGGGTTCTGTACAAGAATCGATTGAAAAATTTGTAAAAATTTTACCACAAAATTTTAACCGATTTTTTACCAAAAAGATGAGAAAATTTACCCCAAAGTGCAGCCAATATTGAAAGTAGAAAAGACACTATGATTACAACCTAAAGTATGGCCGGCCGCTCATACTCAGGATTTTCCCTTAACCCGCGCCCTGCTGGGGGGGGGTGTTTGAACACCCCCCCTTGTGGTTTTTCGCGAATATCTCAAAAACGGCGGCGCGGAGCGCCGCCGTTTTTGGTACACCTTATCATACATCAATTCTACACATGTTGTGAAAATTTCAGACCAAGGTCATTCAAGGTCAGGTCACCAGGTCACTTGAAGTGACCTCACCTCATAAAAAGTTTCAATGTCTGTCATAGCTACACCGAGTGACCGATCGCTTTGAAACTTTCAGCGATTGCTAAGAGCAATAGCATGTACAAAATGTATATCTCAGAATTTTGATATCGATGACTTAAGGTCAGGTCAATTTTGCGACCTCCCCATTATAAGTCAATGGGAGAAAATTGAAATGCGCCTCTTTTGGATGAAAGACATTATAAACACTCCCAAACACCGAATTACAAGTGGCTTAGACACACTGAACATGAAAATGGTGTCCGTGACCCTTGTTTATGCCCTGAGGTCATCTTAGGTCACGAATGGTATCTAACAGTTTTTTCGCAAATAACTTTTGATAGAGGCATGCTAGAGCGATGAAAACGCCTTAGATGTGTTCAGCTCGACGATACGGATCGACTGATATGCAACATGACCCTTTCCGGTCAGGTCATGACCTTGACCTGAGGTCAAATTTTCAAGTTGACCTTTCAAGGTCAAGTTATAGTTCATTCGATGCGTCTTGACGAGAGGAACACGATGCCGGTAAAAGTAAGCTCGTACAGGGCTTGGGTCAAAAGTTATTGCAGAAAAACTGTTTCCAAAAAAATCGGCTATTTTTGCAGTTTTTGCCCCCTGCAGGCAAAACCGTTGACGTTAGGTCAAATCAGAGAGAATTACTCAGAAAGGGCGTTAATAGGGCTATCGAATGCGCTTTTCCGCGGCGCTGTAGCTCTATTGGTTCCCGAGTTATGCGTTGGCTTCTTGGAAGTTTTCGCCATTCGACCTGGAAATCGGCGAAATTTTGCCTTCAATGACCTCTGGTGACCTGACCTTTGACCTGACCAAAAAATTGACCGAAGTGATTTCGTCATTATTTTTGACGCTCTTTCGAACGCCGCCTTCCGCGTATCGCTACGTGGCCCAGGAGCCGAGTTACAAGGGGGGGTGTTCAAACACCCCCCCCCAGCAGGGCGTGGAAATCCAGGACCCCCAGCCGGGCGCGGGTTAATTCAGTATGAACTCGCTCGCTCGTAATCAAACCCATTATCGCGGAATGCATTTTAGTGACGCTTCATCTCCTTCTTTTTAGGGCAAGCGGTGTTCTCGCTCATGAGAATCCTAGAGGAAGAGCAGATCATCAGAGACCCGACGGACAGCGCAACAGCTATACCACACATCACTTTGGACTCGGAGCAGAACAACTACAAGGTGATCACCGAGGGGGCAGAAGTGGCGTCCACAACCTCTGTGGAGGATGCAATACTTCTTCTTGGCATGGCGTATTTTGTTTTCAACCAGAAAACGCCCAGATCTTAAAAAACCCTCTCTTGACTGATGGCGACTAAGGTATTCGAAGTGGGAAGCGACACTAAGCCCGCCGCCAATGTCGTTCAGTCCCTCAAGACCATGGGTATTATGTAGTTCTGCCCTCGGCCGACCGGAGTCTGGAGTGTGTCGTTGTGGGAAGCGATACTAAGCCCGCCGCCACCAATGTCGTACAGTCCCTCAAGACCATGGGTATTGTGTAGTTCTGCCCTCGGCCGACCGGAGTCTGGAGTGTGTCGTTAGCGCTAGCGTTTCGTATGCGCTAAGTTTCGTTATGCGTTTCGTTTTAAGTTTCGTTGTAATAAATGTTGCACCAGCTGGATGACTTTGGTGACGGGTCTGCGAATGAAAAAGGTGGGGAGCGGTGGTGTTGGGGAGCGGTGCACGGATGGTGCTAGCCGGGTGTACCGTGGGTGCTAGGGGAGTGTAGAACAGGAGTAAAATGGGTGCAAAGAGGGTGTAGAACAGGAGTAGAATGGGTGCAAAGAGGGTGTAGAAGAGGAGTAAAATGGGTGCAAAGGGGGTGTAGAACAGGAGTAAAATGGGTGCAAAGGGGTGTACAACAGGAGTAAAATGGGTGCAAACGGAGTGTAGAACAGGAGTAAAATGGGTGCAAGGTGGTGTAGCACAAGAGTAAAAAGAAAGCACATAAGGTGCAAAGGTGGCATAAAGCTGGTTCAGGGGGTGTAAACCCGGTGCAAGTGGGTATGATACGGGTGTCATATAGGTTT